CGTCGTCACGCTGAAGGTTTGTGGGCTCATATCAAACAATAGATTGACATTTTGATGCTCTTCATGTGTCACCAGTGTGTGTTGCCCTTTAGTCCAGACATTATTGTGAAAAGAGAAACAGACAAAGAAACAATCTGTTGAAAGCGTCTTGATAAATCATCACAATAGGAATGTTTTCCTGTTTTAAAGGAGTTCAGCTGTACCTGGTTGTGGTTTGTTTTGCACTGAGAGCCAGTTCCCAGGCTAATAAGAGTCGACTTGTTGAAACTACAGGTGACAGTCTGCCACAGACGCTCAGTGAAGAACCAACAGCTGATTGTGGACATGGTGTGTCAGAGCCCAAAGAGGTTTATTTAGGACTGGACCAAAGTTCTAGGGGGACACAGGCAGTGCTCAGTGGCTGCAGACTGATTTGAACTGTAATATTTTCACCCCCAGATTACAGATAATGGAAACCAGTGTTGACTTTTGCTAGGAGAGGGGATGTGAACAGCTTTGTACATCCATCCATCCCCCCCGACCTCCTCCATCAGAGGGTTTGTGGGGCTGTAGGGATTTCAGGATACTTTCCCCTTTACTTCTGAGAGACAACAGTCATTATTACACAAACACAAGAGCTCGCTTGTCAGGACTAAAACATCCAACAATCAATACTTCTATATTGACAACAGATCAGCTCACTTTGTGTAATGGTGAAGAGTCGTGTGGTGGTGATGAACCCACAGAGAACTGTCTCCATCTCTGCAGCTCTACAGAGCTTTTCAGCCTCTTTTAGCTCCTAGTTTTGGTTCTGCAGCACATTTCCTGTTTGGTTCAGTCTCAGTGTTTCCAGCAGCAGCTGTTTTCATCCAACAAGCTGTGATGAAGCCACTGTTCACTACCTGCTCAGCAGCAAACAGCAGACAGACTCAGTTAGACTAGCTGGTGAACATAGTGGAGCATTTAGCAGCTAAAGAGACAGATGTTTCCCTCAGAAGGTGGTGGAGACCAAAAACAGAGCTACAAGAGAGAGAATAGTAGACTTCCATTCATCAGGTGACACAGACTCCTGATGAACCATCATGTTGATGTGCACACTTACACAGCAGGTTTACTCCAGCCAAAGACTTTATTTTAATTATGCAGGAGGAGACAAAGAATAAACAAAGGCAACTGTCCAGCGGATAAAAGTCACTCCCTCTTCTCCACTGGAGTCGGGAGGGAAGCTCAACCGATGCCGGGACAGGTAGCCTCCGGAGACGGGAGGGAAACTCAACCGTACTCTCACCTGGAAAAGGTCTGGAGGGACCGGACGGCGCGACTGTGTGGAGATCCGACACAGCAAAACAAAAGGCACAGGTGATCTTCCAGGGAATTGACGCTGAGCGGCAATGGGGCAGAAAACAAACAGGTTACGATCTTCACTGAATCCATGTTCAGACTTATGTGGACTGAGACCAGACTGGTAACTGGACGGACTGATGACGCGCCGGGGAAACGCCGAGGTATTTAAGCCAGCTGGCGGCGATCACCGGCATGAGCCACAGCTGAGCCTAAGGAGAGAGGCGTGGTAGTGGGTGGAACACGGGGGGTGGAAACTGTAGGCGGACACAAAAACAAAACATAAGCACATGGCCCACAATAACAAAACAGACAGGGGAAAAAACAGAGGAGCACACACTAGGACCAGACAGGGATCCTAACAAAAATAATATGAGCTGATGAATAATAAGTGCTCCATGTGAACATGAATAACAAAGCTCTGTGTATGAGAGCGATGTAATGTCCATGTCTCCATGCTGCTCTGACCCCCCTCCTCCTTTCAGGGTGGAGCCTGCTGGAGTCCGATGGTTCAGACCAGGTCTGAGGAAGTGTAAGTGTGCTTTGAGTTTGATTCATGAAAACAAAGCATCTTCAAACTGTGAAATCACTCATTCACATCTCCGATGTCATCATCAAACAAAATGATAGATTAATAACTGCAGCTGTATTGTGTCTTGTTCTCTCCATCAGATTCCTGTGAACTCACACTCGACACAAACACAGTGAACAGAAACCTCAAACTGTCTGACAACAACAGGAAGGTGACACATGTGGAGGAGGTTCAGTCATATCCTGATCATCCAGACAGATTTGACCACTGGTCTCAGCTGCTGTGTAGAACTGGTCTGACTGATCGCTGTTACTGGGAGGTCGAGTGGAGAGGAGGAGTTGATATATCAGTGAGTTACAGAGGAATCAGAAGGAGAGGAGAATGTAAAGACTGTTGGTTTGGAGAGAATGATCAGTCCTGGAGTCTGGAGTGCTCTGGTGGTGGTTACTATGTCTGTCACAATAAGACAAGAACATCCTCCTCCTCCTACTCATCCTCCTCCCTCTCCTCCCTCCCCTCTGGTAGAGTAGCAGTGTATGTGGACTGTCCTGCTGGCTCTCTGTCCTTCTACAGAGTCTCCTCTGACACACTGATCCACCTCCACACCTTCAACACCACATTCATCGAACCTCTTTATCCTGGGTTTGGGTTTGGGTTCTGGTCCAGGTTCAGGTTCTGGTCCAGGTCTGGTTCCTCAGTGTCTCTGTGTTCTCTGGAGGAGGGAGAGTCTCCTCCTGCTAGAGAAACGTTCTCTCTGCTGACCAGATAGTTGAGTCTGTACAGGATCATACACAGCTGATGTGAGTTAGTACCAACCTGATCTCTCAGTGGTTGTAGATGCAGTTGGAGCAGGTGAGGGGTACCTGAGCAGGTCTGGACTCTTGGGGGTTGAGAGCTCTCTGGGACTTGTGGTGTTGAAATAAAAATAAAGTTTTGGATGATTCTAGATAATAAAGCACATAAACACCATGTCAAAGCAAAAATGTCCAAATCCATAAAAAAAAAAAAATGAAGGATTTGTTAAATCCAGCTTCATTCTTCATGTTGTATTGTTCACTTTTACTACCAAATGAGATAATCTTGGTTTAACATACTTTGCTCTGATCTTTGTCAGTCAGCTTAGGAAACAGGATGCTGTAACCATGCTAAGTGTTTAGGAGACATCCTGACTGATGTTCGCCAGGAAGATCAGACAGGAACCTTAGAAATAAGGGTTAACTTAAAGAAATCTATCATGAACTGTAAGACTACGTAAACAGCTTCATCAATGATGTACTGATGTTTAGTGTGACCATATATGGACCAGGAGGGTAAAGATGCTCCAAGTAAAAAGGTAGAAACAGGAGGAGACAACAAAGAGTCTCTTTGACGAGGCTTATTGGTGATCTAAACTTTTGAGGTTTTTAACATTTTATCTTTTCTTTTAGTACTTTTTGCATGATCTGTTTTTGTAACCTTTAATGTTTTTAATGTATAAACCAAATAAAACTGGTTTGTATTTTGTACATTCCAACCAAAGTCCAGTGTTGCTGGTCTCTGAGGGTGTCTGCGCAGTCTCCATGAGGTCAGAGAGCTCTTCTCCTGGGAGAGGCTGACAGCACTGAATGATTGATATGAATATGAATAACAGAGCTGCTACAAGCTGAGCTTCAATGCTGTTCTTCAGTCTCATGTGATTCACTAACTTGGTTGACTCAGATAGTTTTGATGCTCTGCTGGTTTATCATGCTTGGTGTTCATGCGATTACAGGACTTAGACATAACTGTTGTGTTTTTGGTGAAGCAGTAGGGTTCAGATTGGCATCCAAAATGAGGGTGATAGGGTCAATTCAATTTATTGTGTGTAGCCCAAAATCACAGATTCTCCTCAGAAGGCTTTACAATCTGTAAACAAAAGACATCCTTTGACCTTTGACCCTCACATCAGAACAGGAAAAACTCCCCAAAAAACCCTTTAACATTGAAAGGAGGAAGAACCCTTTGAGAGAGCAACAGAGGAGTGTGATAGATGTCATGTGTACAGAATGAACAACATAACAGAGTAACAACACATTCAATGCATATGACAGAAATGATTCATATGATGAGTAGTAAGCAGAATAATGATAGAAACATTATGACTATTAGTAATAACAGCAGAAGTGGATATAGTAGAATAATAAAAGCAGTAATATATTGGCAATAGCAAGCAATGTGACTACTAATAATAAAGATAGCATCTGTGGGTGTCAGGCTGGATCACGGCAGCAGGCAAGACCAGGGTACAGATAAAACCACGATCCATGGAAACCTGTGAGGATAGAAAGAACAAAGTTACCAATGAGCATTAATGGGACATTAATTCACACACAAGGAGATAGAGAAGAGGAGAGAGGAGCTCAGTGTATCCCAGGAAGTCCCTCAACAGTCTAGTCCGATAGCAGCTTATCTAGTGGCTGGTCCAAGGCAAACCTGAGCCAGCCCTAACTATAAATCTGAGCCGGCCCTCATATATACATATATATATACATATATATACATATACATATATACATATATATATATACATATATATACATATACATATATACATATATACATATATACATATACATATATACATATATACATATACATATATACATATATACATACATATATACATATATACATACATA